TGCAATGTACAATAATGTAATTCATGCATCATTCAATGATGCAATGCATGCAATGTACAACAATGACATAATGCATGCAATGTACAATGATGTAATGCATTAACAGGCCTGGATGATTTATAGAAAAGAGCACTCAGCCATACAAACCATTGACCATGGCTGTGATAATGCAGACCTGTTGACTAGGAGTCTACTCCCAGAGGATCCAAGGAGGCAAAAATAAAAAACTAAAATAATGATAATTGTAAAGTACAAGGCAAATAAAAAGATTTGGTGATTTACAGTTTCTCTTTCATGTCACGAAAGTAAGTTTTGTAAGTTTATTTGAGTTTGTCTGCCCATAGGCACTGTTGGGCTATGGAGTCTTCTCTCCATCTCTGCATTCTATAGATTCAAGTAAGCACAGATCAAAAAGAGTCAGGGGAAAACTGCGCCTGACACCCACACACGCTACTGTTCATGCTATGGAGTGTTTTGTGCTCCAACAGATCTCTACCAGCATGAAGACCATCACCAGATGTAGCCTACACCTTGCATCTCCAGAAGCCTGTTTCTGCCACTTCCACCTCACCGAGTGCCAGATAATGGCAGCAGGGGTGACAAGGGAGGAGTTTCCTATGCTGTGGTTTGTTCTAAGATGGCTGCCTGCGAATCAGCCAACGGGCGAGGATGCCTGAGTATGGCATGGCTAAAGGAAAAGAACCCTTACTGAGCAATCTTAAAGTGCTCAGTGTAAAAAAAAAAAATAGATAAGATTTTAACACTAATATTTGAGCTTCTAGAGTACAGTTATTGGTGTTCTGCAGTAGGAGGTCAAATAAAATTGGCCTGGGAGGGCCTCAACACACTTCTGTCTGTCTCTCTCTCTCTTACACACACACACACACACACACACACACACACACACACACACACACACACCTGTGTTGGGCATACATAGACTTTCCTTATTCTTGACATTCCCTAATCAACACAAAGTAACTTCTTACACTGTATCAGACAACGTATGGCATTTCCAGATGATTTAAAATACATAAGATTATAAGTAAAGTCTATATCATTTTATAAAAAGGACTTAAGCATCTTAGGATTTTTGGTTTCCAAGGAGTGTTCTGGAAACTCCATGGATACCAAGTGTATACTCTCCTGACATAAAAAGAAAAATTGCATTTGGTTTCTGTGGGTCCATGCATGTGAGTGAAACCCCAATTCATTTATCATTGTGCTGGGGTTTATTCCAAAGAGAAATAAGAAGAAATAAATGAGGAAATAATACTTAAGATGAAGTACTATATATGTATATATATATATATATATCCAAAATTCATGCTTAAATGTAAATAAAAAGTTCATGCTTAAAATGTAAACATTCAACATGGGAAAACTGAACTTAAGTAACTAAAAAATGAAAAATCCACATACATGACCATCATCTGATCTGCTCCCTGCTATGGTGATGGTGGGAATGGAAATTTGGAGGTCATTTCAATTACCTTTTGAATTAGTAAAATTCCAGTCTGTGAACTATTTAAACTAGTGTTCATGGAGATTGTGTGGAAACATGGGAAAGCTTAAAATGTCATATCTTCTGAGGGAAGAGCTAAAGACTGTATCTCCCATGTGGGAGAAACTGGAAAGAGAAGATCCCATTTTTAACAGTTGTATTTGGGTAATGGGATTACATGACATTTTTCTTTTCTCTTGGGCATTTTAATTAGTTTCCAAGGTGTAAAAATTTCTACAGATTGGAAAGTGATTGAAACCACCCAATTAAAAATCCAGTTCTTAAAGCCTGAAAGAATGAAGAATTGAAGTTAACTGTCTTAACCTCATGAGGGATGCCCACATGGGACATTGCAAGCAGTCGTTGCAGTTTGAAGGGAGATTGCATTTAATCTGAGAGTGGTTGGTGTTGAAAAATCAGAAGAATAATAACAGAAGACACCAGGCCCTCCCAATCCCAGCTGCTAGCAATTCAACCAGGGGCTTCAGGAACTAATTGCTTCCCATTCACTGTGGTTGTCCTCAGGAGACCACTCAGCGGGTCATTGTGATGGTGATGGTCTTGTTTGCCAATGGCTCCCAGAGGACCAGGCACTTCATGGCAGCTGTTTGGGTTGGGGCTGGGGTCAACAGAGACTCACAGCCTGTGGAGTGTTGACCTGGAGGTAAACAGTTATCCTACACATCAACATGCCTCATTAGGCTACAGTTTCTAATCCAAACAACCATGCATTGTTTTTCAGGGTTAAATGGCCAGCAAAACAATCTCTGTGCACACGCTTTTTGTTTTGATACTGTACTCGTCTGTGTCTTACAAGCACAGTTGTACTTTGCAGAATACTTAGAAACACCTTATAGCTGTGTCTGGAGTTATAAACAAAGTGCCAAACTCAACACAGCCCTTCCTGTTCATGGAGAAGGGACAAGAGAGCAAAGCTAGTCATCTGTTTATTGTGGCACTTGACAATGAGTCATAGTGACGAGGCTTAACTTAGACTTCATGCTTACCTCATAAGTAATTAGAGAGTATGGCTGAAGTGAAAATGCTGTCGTATGTGGCCATTCTATGAACATAGCATCATATAAACGTCATTCTTTTAATTTTCCCTCCTTTGCCAAGTAAGTCAAATAAATGAACCTGTACCTCCAGACATGTCTTTAAAAGGAGATTGATAGGAAACTAGGATTTGAAACGAGAAAAATGCACTTGTTATGTCTGTGAAAGTGTTTTATGTGCAGACATTGGCTGGATCTTCTCTCTCATACTTAAAATAGTGGGCAAGTTATGAAATTTCAATGTTTTCAAATTTTAAAGAGCAAAATGATTAGTCTCAAGATAAAAAGACCATAGAGGCCTCCTAAATCTGCTTCCTAAGGCATGGTCTTTAAGGTTCCCTTTGCAGTAACCATCAATATGAACACCAGACAGCTAGGCAGCTGCTGTTAGGAAAGGCGTCAGATATTTGAGGGGTAAAGAATTCATTTTTATATCTCAAATTGTTTTTCATTAAATTTCTCAAAATTCAAAATCTCACATTCAAGAGTAAATAATATATAAAACAGAAAAGGCATTCCCTGTGGGCACTTCATCTGTGAGTCAATCATAACATTGAAAATACTGAAGAAAAAGGCTTCATGAATTTCAAAGGACCAAACCTGAATCAGCTGTGCACGGAACACTGTGCTGGTGGGGATTAAGTATGTAGACACACCCTGCAGGAACCTGTCCCTCCATAGCTCTCCTGTCTCCTGCGCTGGGTAGCATTGCCTGGCTTGACTCTTGTGGAGTCAGACCTACAATAATTTGTAAAATTTAAAGTACAGACTTTTGTCATTTTGTGTTATATAGCAGGAATCTAGAAATGATTTGAGGTGCCAGAAGGATGTTCATAGGTTACATGGAGATGTGGCTTCTAGGTGTGTGTGTGTGTGTGTGTGTGTGTGTGTGTGTGTGTGTGTGTGTGTGTGGTACTGGGAATTGTACCATTTTACCTTTTTTCTTTTTTGTCTTTGGAGACAGGGTTTCTCTGTAGTCCTGGCTGTCCTGAAACTTACTTTGTAGACCAGGCTGGCTTCAAACTCACTGAGATCTGCCTGCCTCTGAGTGCTGGGATTAAAGGAGTGTGACACCACCACCAGGCCCACTTTTACTATTTTATGAGTATGAAGGAACTGGGTGCTCACAGGTTCCAGTATCTGCATGGAGTCCTGGAACCAACTGCCTAAGGACACAGAGGAACAGGACATTATAAGAGTTCTTTGACCTAACCTATTTGGACCTTTTTAAAGGGTGGTGGTGGCAATCAGAGAATCCCCATGTCTTGCTATGCCAAATGAACTTTCATTAATTGACAAATTTTAGTGAATGTTACTCAGATTGGCAGAGCTGACCCTTTCTCTGCTTCACTCACATACAGCTTCTACTCATACTCCATTATTTACCTTCTGTAATTTTAGGTAGACATGGCCAACAAGGTGTAGCTGGCATTCTGTTGGTATACCTTGTGCTTGCCTTTGGGTGCTGGATATAAAGCACTTGTGTGTGTGTGTGTGTGTGTGTGTGTGTGTGTGTGTGTGTGTGTGTGGGTGGGTGTGTGCGTGCACTTTGTGCATGTGTGTGTCATGTGCTAAGCATGCATCCTACCACTGAGTTATATCCCAAGCCCCTCCTCCTCTTCGTGTGTGTGGTGTATGTATGTGCACCGGTGTGTGTAGCTGCACACTGTACATGCGTATATATGTATGTAGAAGACAAAGGTTGACACTTTCGTTTTATTCTCCACCTGATTTTCTGAGACAGGGTGTTAGTGAATCTGGACTTGCTGGCCAGTGGGCCCTGGGCAACTGCCTGTCTCCACACGCCACCCCAGTGGCAAGTTTACAGATGTAGGTGGCTGCGGCTGGCATTTGCATGGATGGGGATGGGGAGGGTCTGAACTCAGGTACTCATGCATGATGAGCACTGTACCTGCTGAGCTATCTTCCCAAGCCTGCCTTCCATTTAGATTACAAATGGCTTTCTTTAACAAACCCAGACAACATAGGCATTTATAAAATATAAAGAGAGAGAATAGGCCAGGTGTGGTTCACATTTATAATCTCAGTGCTGGGAAGACAGAGACAGAAAGACCCCAACTTCAAGACCAGCTTTGGCTATCGTGAGTTCAGGCCAGCCTTAAACTACAGCTACACAGCGAGCCTCTACCTTAAAAGCCAACGGCCGAGGGTGCTGCTCAGAGGCAGATCACTTGTCTAATATGTGCAAAGCTCTGAGTTCATTAGAACTCAGCACCATAAAAAGTTGAAAATATAAAACTTTAAGCACACATTTCCCCTTAATTCTCTGTAACCCAATTTCATTTCTTCAATGATATCTTTTAGTTTTATATTTTTTTCTCTATGTAGACGCATTTATATCTAGTTGAAAAGGTAAGTCAAACCATACTAATGTATAATTTTTCCACTTGTTTTCTGACATCTTTTATGAAACACACATATTTCCAAGAGATTTACTTCATCTTTATTAATAATACCACAGTATTCTACCATATTTAGATTGTTTTAATTTTTATTACCCCAAAAGGTACTGTCAGAGATATTCTTGTCATTTTTTTGCACACTAATACTAGTATTTCCACAGGATAAACTTTTAGACATGCAGTGTCTGGACATAGGCTATGCATATTTGTATATCTAATAGACAGTTTTTGTCCATTTGGCACATGGACTGAGAGTGTTCATCAGGATTTGGTGCAGGAACACTGACCCCTGGAGTGTGACCTCCAGGTTTTACATAATGAACATCAAGGAATCTCCCAAGGATACAATCGTGTCACATTCAAACCAGCAGCAGATGAATCAAGTGTGGAGATAAAAGACAAAGACAAGCCTGACCCACGTCCGCTAACTGTGATTTCTGTTACAAAGGCGACAGTGATCGTTTCCACGGTCAGTACAGTTTCATTGATGCTTCAAACAAGGCAGACAAGTCCTCTTCTGACTGGGCACGGGGTGCAAGCTTGGTGACCCTTTCCTGAGACAGTAAAGAAAAGGGGTTATCCGGGACTTGGAAGTGACAGTGTCAATGCTAAGTGCTTATGAAAATTAGCTTGGTCATTAGAAATAGTGACTAGATACTTTAAATATCCTATAGAAATACCTTGGTGTAACCCAGCACTTGTGGGTCAGGGAATAATGAATTCAAGGGCAGCCTGAGCTATATAGAAATCTTCTGCTAAGAACAAAACAAAATAAGAGCAAACAAACAAAAAACACGATGAGCAAAGAAACTCCCCGCCCCCAGGTCCCAAACCATCTTTCTTGACTGGCTTCGGCTAATTCCTAGCACTGGTTTCTCAAGAACTATTGCTTTCTCATGAGGCTTTGGGAAGCCATCAGCCTTTGCCTTCTGCTCAACTGTACAGAACAAACCATCCTGTCCACTGATCAAGCTGGACCCACCAATGGCCTGTGCCCGCTGTCCCTAGTATTGAATGGCAGGGCTGCCAAGAAAAATGTAACTGCTGGTCCTTGACTCAAGACCACTTGCTTTACAGCTGGGTCTTAAGACGCACCCAAAAGGACTTTCTGTAGGACACAGCCCTTTAGGCTATGCGTGACAGGAATCCATGTTTCCCCTTATGAACCAAAGTTTCATATTTACTTTACCAAATCAGTTTATCAGTTTACTTAATTTCTCCAGTGCTCATTATGGGTGGAGTTGGTGATGTCAACAGTCTGTGGCTATGTGTTCTCTCAGTGGCTCCATGGTCCTTCTGGGGCAAGGGACTGAAAAATAATGTTATCTGCCCCCCAGATGAATAAACACTACATCTTACAGCAGGTGTTTGGGTGTAAACCCTGTTAGCAGGCAAGCACAGGACAAAGGCCTGTGTTTGGTGCTCTGGTCTGGTACCCATCATAGTGCTCAGCATACAGTAAACGTATTATCAGCAATTGATTGTTGAGTTAATGAAGATGGTGAGGGAGGAGATATTGGCGTCTGGTAGGTCCCATACACAAGACAGATTGCTGACTCTGTCCAGTTCTCTCATTTTCCTCAATTCAGAAATGACACCCAGTAGGTAGTACAGAGAACAAAACATCTCAAGGATAAACTTGTGGATCTGCAAGTCTTTTAGAGCCACCTTCAAGATGAATCGCAATCCTTTAAATAATCGGCCTCCAAGGCACCACCACGCCCTGGCCTACAATGGGCTGTTTCCATTTTTGCTCCACTATCGCCCCCTAGAGGTTACTCTTAACAGTAGCCAGCTCTCCTTTTGTCCTAGCAGAGACCTGGGCTTAATAAACTCTGGATAAACGTCCCTTTGGGATCAGAACAACATCATGGGGCTGCCATGTAACTCAGCTGGAAGAGTACCAGCCTAGTCATGTGAGAGGCCTGGATCCTGTCTCCATAACAACAAAAACTAGGTACGGTGGCTCCTATTGCTAATTTAGTACTCAGGAGACAGAGGCAGGTGGGTCAGAAACCCAAGACCATCCTTGGATTTGAGACCATCTTGGGACAGATGAGACTCAGGTCAAAAAAAAATCATGATGTCTGATGCCTCCTCAATTTGTCTCTGTCTCTCAACCCTCCCTCTTCCATTGGCTCACCCCCCTTTACTCCCCCCCATTCACATCACCCTTCTCCCACGGGCTCCCTCCCCATTCCTCCCACGTGCTCACCCCTCCTTCCCACTACCTCACTTACCCTCCTCCTTCTCTGACCCCCCCGGACTGGCTCACTCCTACCCTCACACTGATTCACCCCCTCAGCCTCCCCCCTCACTGGCTCACTCTCCCCACCCCCCTGGCTCACTGCCTCCTCACTAACTCCCCCCTCATTTCCTCTATTAGTTTGCTTGAGACAGGGTCCTATGGAGCCCAGTCTGGCTTCAAATTCACTCTGTAGCAGTGGTGTGTATACTGATCCTTCTGCCCCTACTCCCAGAGTGCTGGGATTACAGGTGTGTACCGCCATACCCAGAGCCACCATCCCGTTTACATTTTAGCCTTTCTCTTCATCCTGTCTTTCCCTGGCTGCCATGTCTGGGTAGGGGATGCCACAAAAGACCCTTGACTACGCTCACTGGAGTTCCTCCACATGGTCCCCACGGGATTTCTTTCTATCTCTTCACTTAGGCATTCCATGCCACCACTGACCATCGTCCGGAAGTTCTTACATCTCACTTGTAGATGTGCATTGCCTGTCTCTCCCCTGGAGAAGGAAGGTAAGCTCCAGGTATTAGCTCTAAAACCCCTGAAAGAATGCATTGTGGAAAAATCCTGATGACATCAGGCTTGGCAATGATTCCTTGAATATGACAACAAAGACACAGTTGCTCAAGCCAGGCCCTCCAGATCCAGGTAGAGCTCTCAGCTCATTCTCCAGCACCATGTCTGTCTGCATGTTGTCATGCTTCCGGCCATGATGATAATTGTCTAAACCTCTGAACTGTAAGCCAGCCCCAATGAAATGTCTTCCTTTTGTTAGTCTAAGGACATTAAATGTTTTCCTTTATAAGAGGTGCCATGGTCACCTATTTATAGTCAATCTACCTATCATCTACATATAAATGATCTGCTTACCTATTTATCATCTATCTATCTATCATTTATCTATCATCTATCTATTTATCATTTATCTATTTATCTATCATCTATCTATCTATCTATCTATCTATCTATCTATCTATCTATCTATCACTCATCCATCCATCCAGTTTGTGGCAGGATGAAGAGTTGGCCTTCAGTACATGTTATGGCCTGAGATGATGGTGATGATGGTAACAGCTTCCACAGCATTTTGTTATAACAAAGAAGAGTCCTCTGATGAGCTCAGAATCTTTCACCAGGATCTGTTCCTCTTGAGGGAGGCAGCTCTGGACTTTGAGGAGCAGCTATGCAAGCCTCTTTAGCTTTCATTTTTCCATTTCCAAACCCAGTGATTGAGCAAACACAGACAGAGACAAAGCGTCTGGTCCTGTGCCATATAAAGGCCAAATGATTTCAGAATGAAGATATGTTAAGCAATATGCTATTCTTTACAGACATGAAGACCAAAGAACAACTGATTAACATGGGCACTGAAATAAGTCCTTCTACTTTTAGCACATTCATGAAATGACAGTATTTCATCCGGTCGTCTACCAAGAGTGGGAGTGCTCATTTGGGCAGACAGCTCTCCCCGGTAATGAAATACTTTCATTTGAAATGTAAATGTTTCTTTCCAGAGGTTTCAGAAATCTAGCTCCAAAGATGAACCTGCTCTTGCCTGCTCCCTCTGCAGCTGGTCCATGCAGTTAGAAGCCTCTGCATGCAGGCCTGCCACTCGCTGCCACTAGCACAGGCTGTGTGTTTGGTTAAGAAAACTGGCCTGCTCGTTCTTTCGAGCGAAAACTGACCCCTGGCTGCTGAACATAAAAGAGTCTTTATCAAACACAGACTATGTAAAATAAACTTTCTGGCCAGGCCCTTTGCAGGGACCAGTATGTCCCAACCTTAAATCTGGTAGGTATTAATGAGTGAAGACTGGCCCACTGTATGTGTAAAATTCTGAGGTTGCCATGGCATTCCTGTAAAATGTTCTCTGCTGCCAAAAAACAAAACAAAAGCCCCCACACCAGTTCCTCGTCTGCAGGTTATTTCTGTTCTAGTGAGGGCTCTCTGTTGCTGCGATGAAACATTGACCAAAACCAACTCAGGGGAGGGAAGGGCTTCCTCATCTTAAGAGCTCCCTAGGTCATGTCTAACACTGCAGGAAGGTGGTGCAGGAACTCAGGGCAGGATCCTGGAGGCAGGAACTGAGCAGAAACTATGGCTTACTGCCATGCTGTCAAAATCAGTACCGCGTGGGAGACTCTTACACACTGCCAAGTTGGGCTACTAGCTTGAGATGAAGCCGTGGCCCCCTCTGGACCACAGCTTCTCTGGACCACTCCCCAGGAGGTCTCTCTCAGTGATGTTGGTCTCTGATGTTAATCACAGTTGATTTCCAGCCCTAGCTAACCAGAATCAATTATTTCAGGAAAGCAAAGGTTTCACTTCGATGGTGCTGGCCTGGCCTGTTGTTAATGAGAGCTGATTAAGTCCCTGCTGACCAGAAACCATGGGCTCTTACTTCAAAGTCTCAACCAAGTGGCCCAATATTCTTTGGGGTACTCTATCTTCCCGGTGAACTTCAGAAGCCAATCCTCCGTCATTTCTCTTTAACATTGCTTTCTTCTGAACTCCCATAACAGTTTCATAAGCTCTGAGTACCCAGTGGCCTTTTCAAGTCCAAACTTCCCAAATTCTTCCATAATTCTCCCCAAACAATATGATCGCGTCCATCACCACACTATCACATTCTCTGGTACAGATTTCTGCCCTAGTTTGGTTCCTGTTGCTGTGCTAAACACCATGACCAAAAGCAACTTGGGGAAGTTATAGTTTATCATCCAGAGGTTTGTAGGTTATAGTTTATCATCAAGAGAAGCCAAGGCAGGGACTGAAGCAGAAAGCCGTGCAGTGCTGCCTACTCGACTGCTCTCCAGGGCTTGTTCAGCTTGCTTTCTTATATACAACAAAGGCCACCTGCCCAAGGGTAGCGCCACTCACAGTGGCATGGGCCCATTATTTAAAAAAAGCCCTACAGACCAGAGCACAGGTCACTCCAATGGAGGCGATTCCTCAGTTGGGATTTTCCCTCCCACGGGGATTCTGGTTTGTTTCAAGTTACAAAAACTAGCATAATAACTCTTGGAAGTAAGCAAATTCATATTCTTTTATTTTTAAAAATCACATTATTAGTTATTATGCGTATGTGTGTGTCCCATGGAACATGTGTGATGGTCAGAGGACAATTTACGGCAGTCACCTCTCTCTACCATGTAGGTCCTAGGAATTGACTCAGCAAGGTTTAGCAGCAAGTATCTTCACCTGCTGACCTCACTGGCCTTAAAGTTTTTACATTCTTGAACATAGTCCTGGGATAAATTCAGAAAAGACAGTATCCCCGAGACAGTGCCATGAAGCCAGAAGCCACAAGCCACATTGAAATCATGGTGGCCCCTAGGTCTGTGGAATTCCTGGACTAGTTTTCATGGCTGTCTTGGTTTCACTCAGTCTTAGGAAACACCTAGCTATAGTTACCACCACCAAACCGCTCGATCACCTGGACAGTGGTTTTAGAAGGAGAAGATGCAGGTATGGGTTCATTCAACATGTCTGCTAGCCTGCTCTGCGTGCCACAGAGGATGGAGGAGCAAAGCGGAGTCCTGCCTTCACCAGTAGGCTTGGCGAGAATAGCTACAATGACCTCCCATGGTCTTACAATTTGACTCAGCAGGTTAGAACTGTGGATTTGTGGGTTGGCTCAGCACCTATGCTGTATCTCGAGACACTTGTGTTTCTCACTCATTTACACTATTAGATGCGATCGGATCCACTGAATCTAAGTCAGGGAAACCAGTGGCCATGGGCCATCTTTCACTAGTATACTGAGAAGCCAAGAAACTGGGAGCAAGAAGCGCTCAGCTGACGATTTTTCTTAAAAGTAGGAAAGTCAACCCACACAGGAACCTAAATTTAGACTTAAGGATAATAATTGTTGCTAAAGGTTGCTCATCCAATTACTGATGTGTTTCCAGTTTACTGAGGTTCCCTTTGCTCTGTTGCCCCAAATTGCTTTGTTCATTGCTTCTGTGGACATAGGAACCTGTTAGCTGGAACTGTGCAAACATCTGTGAATGGTGAGGTCATCAACGGTCTGAAAAGTGATGGGCTGGGGAAGACGGGGCCCTTGTTGGAGCCCTTGCTTTCCTGGAGTGTGATGAGGAAAGGGCACCACTGCCTGTGGTAAGTAGGGTACCACTGCACATGTGGATACTCTAGCTGCCCGCTGTCCCAGAGCCAGGGAGTGATCTGTGAGGGCTTAACCCCGGACACACGAGCCACATGGTGACCCTGCTTTCCTGCTTTTCCATATTGACTAGAAGGACTACGGAGTACACTGTGCATGGCAAGCATGGTGTAGTCCACAGACCCGGTGCTTGTGGATCCGAGGGCCCTACTTAGTAGTACATTGCAACAAATCAGGACCTTGGTCCATTGCAATGTGGTGTACTAGCTTCAGAGTACAGAGATCATGTCTTCACATGCTTCTTGGAAGAGGGAGCTTTATAGTCATAATGATTCTATTTTATAAATGTGAGTAATTTAATGTATATTCTTTAGCAAACTCTGAATAAATGAATTAAGGTACAGAGGGACACAAATGCATATGAAATATACAATTTCCTCAAATGATCCAAATGCAAACTTGTAATAGTTTCAGCTTAAGAGCTACGCTTGTATTCTACAGAACAGTAGGAAGCTGTGATGATTTATGGTGGAAAATAACATGGGCAGTCCTTCTGGAATGGCTTTGCTCAGTCTTATGGGGAACAGCAGAAGTGAGGGAAGGGGAGGGGCTTACGTAGCTCAAGTCAGATTGGCAGTTTGCATCTTGGATCTTTCACAAGGGATCCTTTCAGTTTGGCCACATAGATGAAAATAAGGCCTGGGGACCAGGCGCTTCGGGTTCTCTAGCGGATGAGAGGGGTGTCGCAAGGTCACTGGCAGCCCCCACTAGCTCTGTGTGTAGCAGACATGAAGGCCACGCTGTGCATCTTACCTGGGGCAGTGTCCCTTTCACCAATGAAGGGATGTCATCCTTGGAGTAACCGAGGGCAGCAAGACCGTCATCAACATTTAGGTCAAACAGGAATTGTCGGAGGGTATCTGCCAACACAAGCCCAGCATCTTCGGTCCTGGCAGTGCGGATGTCGGCTCCTAGGAGGAAAATGCAGACCATAGGAAGAGAGGGAAACAACTTCTAGGTGTATCTCAGCTACTATATCCCAATGCCACCTCCAGACACCAGGGTTCAGGGCACTGCTAGGATTACCTGAGCTATCTCTGTGGTCGGCAGTCAAGCCCTCAGATGACACGTTAACAAGACCAGGCTCTTTAAGCCTGGCTGGGGCACTCGGTTCTCACAGTTTTGGGGACTTCTCACTTCTCTCTGTCCCCCCCCATGTGATGGGGGAGCAGAGTGACAGGTTCAAGGAAGGAGGGGTTGAACAGAGGGCAGGAAAGATGGCTGGTGCTAGGATGTGGGGAATGGCATGTTTTTTGGGGGCACAGCTTATAGGACTCTCAAGAATTGGTATTTACTGACATCTAGAGGTGTGCATGTTCGATGTTTTCTAACAGGAACACAGAAAAACACTAGGCTTTTGCAAACAGAGTTACAAATGCCACATGCTGACCACCAAAAAGGAAGAAAATACAATGACAAAACTGGGTCACATGTGACTAGGAAAGGAAAAGTTTCCTGCTTCATATCTAATTTTTTTTTTTTTTGGTCTGTGTTGCCAAAGGATGGGGATGTTCCTCTTAGTAAATGTCTCAATGCGAGTCAGGCAGAACAAAGAGCACGAAGACTGGGAATAGTGCTTCCTGTGAAGATAACGATGCGAAGAAGGTTGCCAAGGTTTGGAGATTGAAGGACAGAAGTTTAGTGACTCATAGCACAAACAATAATAGAGATGTCCGTGCAGAAGGGGCATGGAGTTCTGCTCTTAGGCAGGGGAGTGTGGAACTTCCCAGGGGAAAGGAACAGATTTCCCACCCGTACTTAGCACCCACCCTGCCGCTCATATATCTAAGCAGAACGCCGCCTGTGCAGCCCACAAGGCTAGCAGACTGCAAACGAGCGTAGCACTGGACCTAGCAATGCCTGCAAAGGAGAGGCGCCCCTTCCCCGCCGTAGCACACTGTAAGTCAGATCAAAGCCTCTTCCTTCTGTGAGGGTCAGAGCGGCTTTAGTTCCAGAAACAGGTAAACAGAAGCAGACACGGGGCCAGATGGACAGCAACAGGATGAAAGGTGAACCAGGCCTGGCAAGGCCGTCTGCAATACCCAGAGGCAGCTAAGAGCAGATTAGGTGAGAGGCGTGACACAGGATATGGGGTTACGGGTTTATGATCCTGGGATAGCTGCCATTGAACACACTGTACAAACTTCTACGCTTTCCTATGAAGCATTTTATTTTCTTGGAAAAGAAAAAGATGAAAGAAAATGAACCAGTCTAGCTAAGAAAAAAACAACCTAAGATTTCATAGAGAATTAACATATTTAACTGGCAATATGGAGTAATATTGAAATCCCTGAGCAGCTAGGAAGAACTGCTGTGTTCTTCTCCCAGTTTTAATAGAGGATCTGCCTTCTCCTAATGCCTGTGTTGCCTGGAACATGCCCTGTAAGTTCACTAAGGTTTCCCCCATTTGCAGTAGATCTAACCTACAGTTTGGGACATACACACCCCCCTTTAATTTTCACCATTCTCGTATTTACAAAGGCTGCAGCTGTATCCCAGCACATTCCCCTCCCTAAAGGGAAAAGGGATACAGACCCTGGTAAATCTGCCAGTGTGCTCACACAGTACACACTGCAAACTGAAGCCTGGGTTTGGCTCGAAGTCCTGGGTTTCTGACATTAACATTCCCAGCACAGCACCTGGAGCTGTGGGGCACACAGGGGCTGGTGGAGAGGGAGGGCCTTGTGGGAGGATGTCTGCGGTCGCTCCTGCCTCCTTGGGAATAATCTTTCCAACGGCTCAGGCTACAAGGGCACAATGAAGAATGGAGTTTTCATTACAGCCTTTCTCTTCCCGCCCACCCTAAATACAAGCAGGGGACTAAGACGTTCTACAAGGCAATCAAGTTCTCCAAGTCACTAAAAAAGAGTTCTTGTTTCATAAAATACTAAGATTTTTTTTTTATTTTACCTCCTACTATGGGTATCCAGAATATAATTTCATTTCTGTAAGAGTCAAAAGGCACAGTGGGCATCTCATTAGAGAGGTTACTTACTCGACAGTATGGCAAATAGGTTGTTCATTTGGATCTGTTAAAACTGTGATTGGTTATTGCTGCTTTCTTGACTTATTTTATCAGCAACTCAGCATTACTTGTGTACCAACAATACTTTCATTACAGACAAAAGCAGAGCAAATAGCATCAGGACACAATAGAATCAGTATATTAGGTTCCATTTCTTTTTTTTTCTTTTTTATTATTTATTTTTAAATTTAAATTTAAATTAGAAACAAGGTTGCTTCACAAGTCAGTTCCAGGTCCCTCTCTGTTTCCCTCCCCTCCTCCCATGCCCTCCCCCAACCCCCACCCCAAATTAGGTTCCATTTCACTACTGGTCCTTAGAATCTTAAAATTACAGTATTTAACGCCTGCTGCCCAGGGCTTCAGGCAAGTTGTTAACATTTTATCACTGAGCTATTCCAAAGAGATAGTTTTTGTTATTGCTCCTGGGAAACACTCTGCTGCAGAGTATCTGTTTAACTGTGTAAAGATACACTGCATTTGTTTAATTATGTAAAGATGCATTGCTGTTTTTACCTTGCCTGCACCTAAGGCACCTGATTGGCCTAATAAAAAGCTGAATGGACAATAGGGATGGAGGAGGTATAGGCAGAACTTCTGGGCAGGGAGAGTAAGTAGGAGGAATTTAGGCTTGAAGAAAAAAGAAAAGGGGATGCCAGGGAGATGCCAGGGGCCAGCCAGTCAGCCAGCCAGACATGTAAGAAGCAGGAAAGTAGGACATACAGAATAAAAGAAAAGTAAAAAGCCCCAAGGCAAAACCTAGATGAACAGAAATAGGTAAAAGTCAAGTTAAAAGAGCTAGTGGGACAAGCCTAAGCTCAGGCCGAACATAATCAATAATTAGTCTCTGTGACTTTGGTGTCCCAAAGAAAACACAACTACAACACTCCACGTTGGAGGGCCACATGCTTGGGAGTAATGGTTCATACCTAATATTTCTGCTGTCTCCAGGTGCCGCTCCGGAAACATCTGGGCTGTGAAGGTGAACACTGCTGGGGATGTGAGCACCACAGAGAGGCCATGGGGCTGGGAAGAGATGGACAGAGAAGCTTTCTTCCTTAATACTCTAGACGGAGTACACAGCACAGTCGAGAACTCGCAGCACGGACGGGGGTGCTGCTTAGTGGCACAGTTCTTGACAGTTTGCCCAAGGTCCTGAGTTCCATCCCCAGTCCCACCCCCACTTAAAAAAGTACACTCAGAGAAATCGTGACAATTCTAAGATTTAGCTGAGTAATTTATTATTAAATATTTTTACCACCAGAGGGTGATCCACATTGTATTCCTTGGCTTTATATGTCTTCACTAAACCTGAGATTGGGTAAGACATGCCATGGCTGGAAGAGAAAAAAAAATCTGTTGACACACAGATGCCTGAAATCAGTAACATGGACACTGCTATGGGACTGCTCCTCTCGTCTCTGGCCTGCACTGTTAACTCATGGAGTTCTACATGATGCATTTCTTGGGTGCAGAGATGTACTGTGATGCACTCCAAGTTTAGTGTATTCGTTAACAAAAACCTCTGAAATGGTCAGACTCCAGTGGTCAGAGAGTTGCATGCATTGGACAATATGCAAGTGGGACCCCCTAGTGACCCATTCTGCAAATAACTGACAGACTGTTTCAAATGTCGTTTATTTCTTATGATTTATGCAAAATAATTTAATGCATTTAAATACCTAGATTGATGAAAAATATACATGTATGTGTACATATACATATATTCATATAGTCAATATATCAGCAAGCTATCAAGCATTCCTCTCAGAAAGCTACCTAGTGTCTCATTGCAGGCAGACTCCCATGTTAGCCCCAGACAACAACTGAAGTGCTTTATGTATATGTTTCAAATGTTGTTTATTAATGGTGCTGAATTAGAAAGGACTAGCCTAGCCTACGAAGCTCGGCTAACCAGTTCTATTTAATTGACTTTCATGTGCCTGCATTTTACCTTTGCAAATCGTTGTGGAAGCACAGAGCAGAAGCAGGTGCTGGGTGTTCTGTTCCATCACCCTTTCTTTTCTTTATTCCCCTGAGACGGGGCTTTGAACCTGCAGCTGGGCTGGCAGCGTCAAGCCCCAGAGACTTTGAATCCCATAGTACTGGGGTTATGGGTAGTTGTGTCCATGCCCAGCTTTAGATTTTTATGCGAGTGCTGGGATCCAAACTCATTCTCCAGCCCACAGTGGGTTTTGCTTTTGCCAGAAAACAGGAACTTTATATTCTCTTGAACTTTTAGCGAACAAATAGGAAAGCATTATAGTTTAGTAGATGGTTCAGAATATAAATATTATAACAGGTCAATATGTAATATTCACGATTAATATTGTAAAAATAAAATGCCCAATAAGAGCAAAAGGGTCTCATTCTTTTAATATAGGCTATTGGGAGATTGCATGCTTATTCAGCAATAAAAGGAAGTATTTTGATGAATTACAAGCGTACTTATCCAAAAGTTCTCAGACATCCTACATGAGATAAATGGGTAGCTCGTGCTTCTGTGAGTGACTGGATAATTTAAAATGCATTCGACTCTCTTGGCATCAGAAAGTTACTGCTTAGTAAGCTTTCAAGAAGTGTTAGGGTTCATGTAGCTTTCGAAGGCAACTTTATTTAAAATTCCAATTGTTTTTAATAGTTGTCTATGTTATTTGTATAAAATAAAATTATGCACATTATCTTTCCTTCTAGCCATTTTATGAATATATTTAATTTATTATCAAATTGGATAATATATATATATATACATAGCTTCTAGATTTCTTCTTCCTTTATTTTTTCCTTTGTGTGTTTTGCCTGCATGTATAGCCATGTACCCCATTCCTGCAGAGCTCAGGGAGGCTGGAAGAGAGCATTGGATCATCTGGAACTGGAGTAAACTTGCCACATGGATGCTGAGACTTGAACCTGGGTCATTTGGAAGAGTAGCTGTTGATCCCAAACCACTGAGCTTCTCTCCAGTCCTGTGCACTATAATTTGGGCATTGCTTTTCGATGCCTAATGGTCTTCTTGTTTGCTTTAAGACAGTCTCCTGTAGCCCAGGCTGATCTTGACCTGTCCATGTAGCTGAGGGTGGTGTTGAACTCCTGCCTATACCTCATAAGCGCTAGGATCACGGTATGACCCCTATACCCGGTGTTATATAATAGTGTCTGCAAACACTCTCCTTGATAAATATGCTTTAAATACTATTCTTAATGACTCTATTAAGTACTATACTTTAGTTAAGGTTTTTTTTTTTTTTTTTTTATGAGACAGGGTTTCTCTGTATTGTTTTGGTGGCTGTCGGTCCAGCCTGGCCTCTAACTCACAGAGATCCGCCTGCCTCTGCCTCCCGAGTGCTGGGATTAAAGGCGTGCGCCACCACTGCCCGGCTACTTTAGTTAAGTATTAATTACTGGAAATCAAATGTGCATCCAGATTTTTCAGTCATAAACTACACTTAGGAGAACATCTTTATAAGGAAATCCATTGCACATTTCATAGAAATTTATTTAGCCTAGATTCCTAAGAATGAAGCAGTGGGCCAAGGGAGATGAACATTTTCGGGCTCGAATACATTTTGTATCCTTGCTTTGGGTATAATAAATCATGCTTCTACGCCCAGACCTTGATGCTAACCACTGCCTCATACACCAGCAGAGCCCTATGTAATCCTCAATGTTCTCAAACAGAATTGCTGTACATCCAGAAGGTCCATTCACTTGTATCAAGTAAGAGAAACAAAAATGTACATGAAAACTTGTACAGAATAGTATTTAGAGCAACAAATGTCCACCAACTGAGAACAAGTCAAATACAATGTGGTATCTCAACCAGAGGGTGGTGATGCATGCCTTTAATCCCAGCAGTCAGGAGGCAGAGGCAGGTGGATCTCTGCAAGTTCGAGGCCAGTCTGGTTTACAGAGTGAGTTCCAGGCCACCAGGATTACACAGAGAAACCTTGTCTCAGGAAAAAAAAGAAGTGGCATCCCCATACAATAGAATATTATTTGGGGGTAAAATGAAGTGAAATATGTTCTAGCAGTATCTAAATAAAGCATGGTAGATACAGAGGACCACGTGTGTTCATGTATGTGACATGCCCCAAATGGGGAATTCCACAGAGATGGAAAGTTGCTCAGTAGACTCTAAGCAGTGAGGGATGTGAGGGCTTTGGTGAGCAGTAGCTGAGGATGTGAGAATTTTTTTATGGGGGCAATAAACTGTTCTAAAACTAAAGGTTGCAGGACTTCATGCATAGACTAAAAACTATTGAATTATCTATGTTTCAAATGAGTAGACTTTATAGTACATGAATAGCATTTTTAAATCTGTTATAAGAAACTCCATGACCCAATAAACTGAATTCAAGTTAAGAAAATATTTGGGAAATCTTAGGTTTCTTCCTTGTATAGCATAGTTAAAATTTGCCACATGTCTTGAAATACATATATTAAAATTTAGGAACAGTATCTTGAGTTAAGAAAATAAATTGAGTGTTCACTTACCACAGATGAACACCAGCATTTCCAAAGCCGATGCCAGCGAAAGCGCTTGCCAAGTGCATACTAGACCTTGCTTCCAGATCATCAGGATTTTTGACAGCCCTGTGAATTATATAAATACAGAGCAACACACCGGCACTGGCATTGTCCCCTGAGTAATGGGCTGCCTTAGGGAAAGGCCAGAAAGGGGGGCTGTCACTCAGCAGGAAGAAAGATTAGGCAGGTTACCCAAACAGCTTCTTGTCTTCTCAGTGAAAACTGAAGGCAAACATATTTTTCTCATCAGTGGTTTCACCAAGGGCATAATAAACATGCTGTCAGCCACTCAGCTAGTAGGAAGGTGCCAGGGACACAAAGCCCTGACCTAGCTCCGTGAGTGCTGCTCTAGGGAGGTGACCTGTGAACAGCCTCAGAGTGAATGCATTCTCAGAGGGCACCCAGAGCCCTGTCACCTCAGGCTACCTGCAGGCCAAGCCAGCCTAGACATCATTCTCTCTGTGACATTGGTCCAAATTGAACTATACGTTTTTGCCATTTCAGGCTGTAAAAATGCATACTTATATATTTGTATTCTTTAAAAAGTGTAAAGGTTAGTCAACTTTTAAAATACTTAAATTTTCGTTTTTAGACATAAGGTCTTGTTCTATTGCCCAGGCTAGTCTCAAATTCCTATACTCGAGTGACCCTCTACCTCAGTCTCCCCAGTAGCTGGGACTCCTGGTGTTGCCACTGCACCCAGTTTGTGTTTTTAAATCTTTTTAAACTTCCCAGGAACCCTTCTACACTTTCCGTCTTTTCTGTCTCCTGAGTGGCTACATTTTTTTCTTGACTTTAGTTCACTGAGTTTTCTCAATGGGTGACTCCTGCGTGCCCTGGAGGTACAGATGACACAGCCAACATATGCCTGTGTGTTTCTCAATGCTGCTCAGGCTCCAAAACATGTCCCCTTCACTGCTGTAGCTGTTGTTTAGAAAGAGTCTTTCTTTGTAGCCCTGGCTGGGTTAGTGCTCACTATGTAGCACAGATTGGCCTCAAACTCATGGCCATCCTCCTGTATCGGGCTCCTCTAAGTTCTGGGGTTACAGGTGTGTACCACTATGTCTGATTAGTTTGGGGGCATTGGTAAGCAAACCGTTTTTAAATTTTATCTGTTTCCTTTACATATTAGATGCTCCAGTTGTCCCTGAAACGGTTGCCTTTTTGGACTGACAGGTCCAGTTTTCACCTGCCTGTCCTCAGATCCCTTCAGAGGTCGCTAGTGACAGCCGTGGGGAGCAGACGCTGTCGCCATGTCCGCTCACTGGGTCAGCATCAGGCACGTTAGGTTTCACAGAACAGCTCGGGAATGTCTGTTCCATCTCTGGGGTGACATACCTCTTCAGATACTTGGCAACAATCCGCAGTGCGTGAACTGCCCAGATGTCGCTGATTGGGTTGCTGCCCTGGTAGGCTGGTCGTTGGATGGGGTTGGAAGGGCAGGGACTCCGCATGCTATAGGGAATGGCTGTGTATGACTCCAGAGCGTGGCTGAAGAAAAATGTTTAAAATACATGGGATGCGCATTGCTTCCTCTTCACCCTTCGTGTCTCACAAAGCTTGCGATTATAACTACATTTAGATTTGTTTTTGTTTTTCAAGACAGGGTTTCTCTGTGGAGCCCTGCAGTCTTGGAACTCGCTCTGTAGACCAGGCTGACCTCACAACTCAGAGATCCGCCTGCCTCTGCCTACCGAGTGCTGGGATTAAAGATGTGTGCCACCACTGCCTGGCCATAAATTCTTGACCTGAAAAAATATTGGAGTCTATTTTTAATGTGCCTTAAACTCAAGGTTAATTCTAAATGTTTCAGGGCTAACCCCACCTGCTGGCCTGTGCCTCGGCTGCAGGTGCAACTAGAGGCACCTAGCTAATGATGTCCAAGGGCCTCAGCAGAACACAATGATATAGTGTACATATATATGCTGTATATAGTCTATATGGTGTAGCTCCCAGTGCTGAAGGATTCACTCTTCTCCACATGAGAAGCAGAAAGACACCTTTTGGACAAATCATTGGAAATTAAGAAAAATGCACTTGGAAATTCTCAACAGGGACTGTAGGAGATGTGCAAGACTCAAGTGCACATAGCAGGAGGACAGAGCAGTGTGAGTGGTTGGATCTGACATGGTCTGCAAGGGTCCACGTGTGAAAGAGGCTCCTAGCCAAAGGCCCTTTTGAGAAGTCACCAAGCTTTCAGTAGGTGAGGCCTGGTGGAGGGAAGGGAGACCACTGGGCATGTGTGGGAAGGGACAGTGGAGCCCCACACTCTGTGTCCCTCTTAGAATTCTGACTGCAAGTGTTCCCACCATGAAGCAGTGTGTCACCACAGACTCAAAACAGTAAGGCCAAGTGACCATAGATCTATGGAAACCACAAGCCAAAATAACCTTTCTTCCTTTTAAATTGTTAAAAATGACTTATTTCATTGTTGCTGTGTCTATATGGAGGTGTCAGGTGGCTGGGAACTGGAGTTACAGATACCATGTGGGTGCTGGGAATGGAACCAACGTCCTCTGGAAGAGCAGCCAGTGCTCTGAAGCACTGGGCCCTCCCTTTAGCCCCAGCCTGCCTTCCTTTTCAGGTGATTATTTGAGGTATCTTGTCACAGTGATAGAGAGCTGGCCAACACAAGCAACTGTGGCCATCTCCCTCTGTCCCACTCCCTCCTCAGACAGTGAGGTCTGGGACCGAGTCACCCCTTAGACATTATTGCCTGGACTGTGGTAGACTCATTATGTACTTTATTGCCAGGGAGAGTAACTTTATTTCCATTGATTCTAAGCAATTGGGAGACCTCTCATCAAATTTGTAATAATACTGAACAGGATGGAGTCAGACAGTTGTCTAGGCCATAGAACACAGTCAGGAACACAGACCAGGGGTTAGACAGAGTAACGGTCACTTCTGGCTCATATGAGCATCATTCGACAGCGGTGGGTACCTGTGAGATGACAGTCACACGCCCTGAGAGTAGTGCCAGGGAGGAGAGTAAGGTGACCCTGGCCTCACCAAGCTCACAGTGCAGCAGGGCAGATGGGCAAAGGAAGGGCATGGTGGTGGAAACCAGGCTCACAAAGCAGGACTTAGGGCAGGGCGTCTAGCGTGTTGACCGCATCAGCAAGCAGAGAACAGGGCGGCAAGTAAGGCCCCAAAGTCTGCCCCAGCCAGGCTCCACCTCCTCAAGGTTGCATGGTCTTCTAATACAGCACCAATGGCTGGGGACCAGGTGTTCAAACGCTTTCAGACTCAACCCACAACACAGAGTTGTGTGTGCATATTCTGGAAGCTTATGAGAGAAGAGGGGTGCTGACACCAAGTCCGGCTCCCTCCCGAGGAGGTGGTGATGCAGGAGAAGCTGTGGTGCTGACCCATTTCACGTGCCACCATTTTTAAAAAGGCACCGATGAACGCATTGTAAGATGCCTATGTTAAGAGGCAGTTTTTTGAAACACACTTCCAGAATAAAAAATACACACCAGTTACAGATGTTAAGGTATGCTCTGACAGCACCCAGGAGGCAGAAGCAGGTGGACCTCCATGAGTTTGAGGCCAGCCTGGTCTACACAGTGAGTTCCAGGACAGTCAGTGCTACACAGAGAGCCTTATCTCAAAATTAAAAAAGAAAAAAATATTCTGATTTCAAGGACACAAAAATGTGGCAAAATGTTCTTGCACCAGTGCATGAACTGTGGTGCTTTGAGACTTGTTGAAAGTGAAGAACCTGGGGTGCTCCTCGAGGACACTGGCAACGATGGCCTAGCGTAGGAATAGGATCTGCAGCAGATATACACATGGGATCTTGGCGCGTCCCAGCTAAAACCACAGGAGCCTAGGGTGAGCCTGGGCAAGTTCCCAAACCCTGGGAACCCAACCTCCTTTTCTATTAGTGAGTCTCACATTGCAGTGTTGCGGAGAGGTGATGTGCGAGGTCCTGAGAGCACACATGACGGTCCTGCACCGTGGGGACACAGATGGTCCTGCACCGTGGAGACTGGCCAGCCCTCCTTACTGACCTCCCTTGGCTGCAGCCTCAACCCTTCTCTGGCTTGCGTGGCCATAGAGACAGGTGCAGTCCAGAGGTCATCTTACACTGACCCTTTATCTGTGGCCCTAACCACAGATGTTGTCTAGGGTGGAGTGGTCTGCCTGAGGTAGGCTTGTGGGCTCCAATTCGACTGCATCCAGTTGTCGACATTTCTGTCTAGGAGAGGGGACAATGGCAGCCAATATGAGGGGCGCTATATGGTGTCAGTCATCAAGCTCCTTGGGTGGCAGAGTACCGCTCACAGACCAGCCCTGAAAGCCCCTCCAGGTGGCACCGATACCTACCAAAGGACATCAAAGCCACTGTTGGCAACCACCTGACAAGGCATGTGGAGAGTGTGCAGAGGATCAACTAGTCCCAGCGTGGGCTTGATGGCTCGTGAAGCAATGCCTAAAACATAAGGAATTTTAGTATATTAAAGGCGTGGCACCATTGAAAAATAACCTTAGGACAACAAAGTTAAAAACAAAAATACGAGAAAAGGCTCATTTCCATGTAGTGAGGCAAGGAGCGGCAGAAAGAGGCCAGAACCTCTGCTTTCAGTGGCGCTGGCTGGCTTCCCAGATCCCAGGAGCTGGTCTGAGGAGCTCTTTCAGCCGCCTGGAGGAGTGACACTGCCAGTCCTGCTGGCAGTACTTACGACACAGAAGCTGACAAGAACCACACACCAGGGTTCATTTCTTACTCAACCTCAAACGTTTACTGGCGTGTCACTGGCCATTGTCCAACACCTGGGTAGGTGACACTGGACAAGTCACTTAACCATTCGGAGTTATCCTAAGATTAGGCCTTACACACACACACACACACACACACACACACACACCACCACCACCACCACCAACAACAACAACACTTGAAGCTGTAAGAATACGATTAGATAATATGCATATGAGCTTTTTAAAACCCGAAGACTAAAAGTAAATGTTGATTGCTTTTGTTTTTGTTAACAATGCCAAGGGTCATGGAATGTAATTAAAATGAAGAAGTTACTTTAAATGTGAAGTTGAACATTAGCTTATTTTGCTATAGAGGCCAGGAGAAGTACACTGAGCCAAAACGAAGGGGAGGGTCATTTCTCCCACAACAGCCAAGAGTCAAGGGGTGGCCCCCAAATGAAAAGGAGATGGGAAAGAGACCTGAGGTGGGGTGGGGATGGGTCTGTAGGGATTGGCTGGGATGGATCGTGAGGCAACTTTGTGGAGTTATGGGAATGTCTAAAATCTGCTGGCTGCTGTTAGAAATATCTTGAAAAGTATGCATCTTATTGTGCAAAGTCATGTTTTGATAAATTGATTTAAAATGTTACAAAATGTCAAAGAAAGGGAACACCCATTTATCATTGCTTTAACCACTCATATGGGCAGGACAATGGCCTATTAAAACTCATGGCATTCAGGGTTAGGGAGATGGCCCAGTGGGTAAGAGCAATTATTGCTCTTAGGTCAAGGGGTTCACTACTGACTATAACTCCAGCTCCAGGGGCTCTGACACCTTCTAGTCCCCAAAGACATTCCCACAGTGGTGGAATACATTTACACATGCACACACATGAATAAAAATATATATATGCAAAAAGATCTGTGGCGTTTTGAAAGACTTTTCAGGTAATTCTCAGCAAGAAGCTTAAGGCCCATTTACATTTTTGCTTGCGGAGAGAAAATGTGTGTTTGCGTTCCCTTGATTCCTTGATTTCTAACTGATAGCCTCAAAGACAAGGGAGTGAGGGAGAAAGGTGAGGGAGAATTTCAAAAGAATTGTGAATAAAATTCTTACCAGTTTTTACTTTCATATGTTCATAGTCAAAGATGGCAACCCCCGTCGTTTCGCTGCCAGTTCCTGAGGTCGTTGGAACTTGAACAAAACGATACTAGTGTTAGAAGGGATCTGAACAGAGGCCAGTGGAGACACTTACTTCCACCTCAGCAATGGTAGAAAAGGAGCATCTCTGACCTTGCTGTTTGTCTGACATCTGTGTAACATGTGCTGAGGAGTCATGCGAGGTCCATGCTTGCATGAACACCCCTGTGTGTTCTCATCAGCATGTGATATCTGTGACCATGCATGCATGCAATTTGTATCTGTGCTAGCACATATATGTTTAACATACATTCTGATGTTTGAATGTACATGCATGTTTAATGTATATCATATCTGTATTAACATGTGGTCTACTTAACATTTACATGGCTTCTACATCTGCTCACATTTATACATGGCTTCATAAACATGTATGTGTGGTTAACATGAATGTATGTTTAATATGCATGCTACCTATAGATGTAGAAATGTGTTTTGTGAATTTATATCGAACATAAGTTAACATACATGTATGGTTAACATGCATGCATATTTAACACGCATGCTCTGTATCTGTGCAAAAGGTTTTATACATATGTGGTTTGTATCTGTGCTCACATGCAACTGTGTTGAATAGATGATCTCTGTTGTAATACATATGTGATATCTATGTCAGTACTAACATGTTTATGCTAATCACACTGTGTGGGAAGTCTGTGCCATATTAACAGTGATGAGCTCTGGGAAGCTTGGTTCGCTAGAGCCAGAGATCAAGTTGTCCAGGCCCTCGGGCAGGAATGCTAGCACATCGTGTCTCTAAAAGACATCTTTATTCCCTCTTGGCAATGGGCACAGGAGCGAGCTGCTTTTGCTGGGCCCTGTGGTTTTGCAGTTCTGTCAAGTTTCTAAACTGTACTAATCACCTCTCTGTGTGACGCCGACACGGGTTCACCAGTGGGTTCCATTTGCCAGACTCCAATTATGCTGCTCCCCACTGATCACTCATTCATGTCACAGCGGCTCATCTGCCACTGACTCCCTGAAGTCCCTACCATGGCTGTTTACAACGGGCAGAAGACGGGACGAAGCTTAAACATAACGTTCCCCTATTCCTACTTAGTGTATTTTAACTACAGAACTCCTGTAAGTAGTGTGCTGACGGCTGTAGGAATGAGAGGGAAGAAAAGAGAAAATACCAAGGCCCCTGTGGAAGGTTCAAGCTATTTTTGGTTTGGAGTCGAGCACTGGGCACATGCACACGCTGGCCACATGTCCCAGGGAAGACACAAAGCCTCAGGTCAGCTGCAGAGCCGTTATATGCAAGAAAGGGTCGAGCCGCTGAGAGAAAACAGCAATTGTTCTCCACAAACTCCCTGGTGTCTGGGAGATGAGACAAAGAAGATGGGTCTGGGGACAAGGCTGCCAACAGAGGGACCCACCAAATGTCAATGAGGATCTTTCCTCCTCCACACAGTGACATCATGCCTGAAACTGCAAGCTTCCTCCCTCTGACCCAAATTGTCTATTTGTGCAATGACGAAGGCCAGAGTTTTCAAGTACGCAACTGATGCCTGCTTTGTTCTCTAATTAATGCACTGATTTAAAACGAACAAAGCAGAGGTTCTGGAATTGTAGACTTTGAAATTAATAGCTGGCATAGCACACAGGGCTCTTTCTTTCTTTCTTTCTTTCTTTCTTTCTTTCTTTCTTTCTTTCTTTCTTTCTTCCTTCCTTCCTTCCTTCCTTCCTTTCTTCCTTCCTTCCTTCCTTTCTTTCCTTTCTCTCTGTCTCTCTCTCCTCTCTCTCCTCTCTCTCCCTCCCTTCCGGCCAGTTGTAAAAGAAAGCAAATGAGCAGTGTTTACCTGCAATCAGAGGTTTCAGAGGCACAGTCACTGGCTTCCCCTTCCCAATGGGGGCATTGACATAGTCAAGGAACTCAGAGTGAGGGCTGGACGCATACAGATTAGTGGCTTTACAGGTATCCATGGTGGAGCCCCCACCCACAGCCACATAGGCATCGAAGGCTCCCTTTTTGGCAAATTCAATCGCATCCATGAAGCTTAGAGAACAGAAAACAAAAGTACATATATATACTGTCATGCTGTCAAATAAGGCCTGGGACAAATTTTCAACAGCAGCCATTTTTGTTGGCTTCTGCTTACATAACTATGAAGTTCACTAAGACCTTACCTTCCGTCTGTGGGTTCCACCCTCACGCTGTCATAAACCTGAAAGCTGATACCACTCTTCACTAGGGAATCCATAACTGTTTGTACGGGAGGGAGCTGGGAGAGGTTCTTGTCTGTCATCAAGCAAACCTTCTTAGCTCCCATATTCTGTAGATCCTATAGTAAAAGTTAACTCATGAGTTAGGCCTGAGTACAACAGCCCTGTGCTAGATACTTTGGGAGGGTTTAAGAACAAAGAATTCAATTACTGTCCATTAATGCTCGTGTTTACAAGACAGTCAGAGGCTACAGACATCTCAAATACTTGCCATGCCCACTTCCTTTGTAACCCCTGCTCCATATCTAATATTTGAAACAGCCATCTGAAAAAGAGAAAGAAGATTTAGGTGTATTGCTGAAACCCAGAATGACTCCTCATCGTTTAGAGAATAAGTGGTCCGCTCTTTAGCGTGGCCCTCCAGGTCTCTCACCTTCCAGTTTCCCAGCTTCTTTAAGCAAACCTCGGCTCCAGTCACACTGAAATCGCGTATTTGTCTTTTCCCAAACCCACAATAAATTCCCACTTGTTCCTTCAGCTTCAAATGTCTGTCTTCCCTAACCTCTCCATCAAAACTAACTCTCCAATTTCTTACTTTCCAACTTAAACGTTTGTTCGGCAGGGTTTGCCCCTTCATTTATCCATGTAGCCTCCCGCTCACCATCATCACTGAGGAGCGCTCTGTTGAAGGCTGGACTCTAAAACAGAGACCCACTGACCTCTGTGTTTGCACACAAAAGGAGAGCTTTCACACTAATGCACACAGGCCACTTTTCAATTAAACAAAACAACCGCAGTTTGATTCACGACAAGCTTAGATTTCTTTTCTTTCTTAAAAAAAAAAGGTTAATGACTCTTTAAAATACAGATTTAAAAAAACCTGAGAGGGTCATTTGTATCTCTTCTCACTCTCAAATGATCTAGAAACCGCCACACAGTTTTCAAGCATCAGCAATCAGTTGTGGTTTGGGCTGTCAGAGGGCGCCTAGTGACCTTCTAATTTATAACTCCTAAACCAGGAGGGGCCAGGAGTTAAACAAACACTTAAAGTAACTAGCATGGCAAATTGCATCAGAATAAGTTGTTCCTTCACTCTTCCAAAAGATGACTTCTTTTGTTAAATAAGGCCCAGGGCAAATTTTCAGAGACTCAATATATAACACACAGAATTTGGACAGTCTGCAGAACTGGGGGTTTGCCATATTTTAATAACTACATAAAAGAGAGCATTTTAAACATTATTCCTGTTTCCAAACTATATTCCACGATCTTCAAATGCACATTGCTGTACAGTGCCTGATCAGAATGAGACTGTAGAACACCAGTTAACAACAGATTTAAGATGAAATACTAACGCATCAGCGAATACTATATTGTTTTTCAGGCCACCCATAAAAGAAAGAATGAATTGATGAAATCTACCTCAAATGCATAATCTGTTGTTTTTCCAGAAGGTGAGAGTCCGGGGGCTGGAAGTAAAGAGAATTGTATCAAAGGACACATCACAAAATAAGCCTAAATCATTGTTCTTTTTGTTGTTGTTGTTGTTAATAGAATCCAGCCATGAACATAAATATCTTCCTGAAATATTACCTTTTTAGCATTTCATGGTTGTACATAAAGTGTAAATCAATATTTACAAAAAAAGCACACAAACTGACTTAAAATTTCTGTATAAAGTTAGTTGTAATATTGGGGCAACAGGGTGCCATCAATGAATTTCGTATTTTAAGAACTTATTATTGCTGTGTATGAGCATGTGCGTGCGTGCATGGTGACTGTGCATCCCCATGAAAAGTCTGGGGATCTAACTCCAGTCAAATATCCTCACCTGCTGAGCCATCTCCCTGGGCCCTTATCTCTCCTCTTAATCTACTTATCTATAATCAGTTCTGGTCAGCCATAAGATAATGGAAAGCCAAAAGAATAATTTGTATTACCTGTTTTTTTTTTCTGTTAAAGAAAAAGACACCAGAACTAGTCACCACCACCACCAATACCACCACATTGTTCCCTGAGTGCAAAGGCAACGTCTTATTAACATCCAAACTTTTCTGACAACTCTAAGGCTGCTAGTGTCGCTGCTACTTCTACTGCTAAAGTTTAGGTCAAAGAGTAAGACAGAGTTCTCTCTAAGCTATTTCTATAAGAAAAAAATCCAAAAAAGATCAGCACAACAGTGGAACACACAAAATTGTGCCTGTTTTCCCAAGGGCCTTAAAGCTGGTTCCACTTCATGGCTGTTGGTTAGAGGCCCCACCTGCCTGGAGGGGGAACCTCTTACAAAGCTGGAAAAGGCCCTGGTGGTGACCTCCTTTTACTTCTCAGGAGCAAGCTTGGGGTGACCTTGCCTCTGGATAGCTTACCTCCTTCCAAGAAGAAAATCCATAATTCATGTGACACCCTGGGGACAGGTGGGAGCTACAGTGAACTTTATGGACCATGGAGTCTGACAAGGACTAAGGTGGTGGCAGCTGAAAGCTTTTGTTACTACTTTTAATGATTAAGAAATAGATTATTTTAAAAATGGATAATGGGCAAAATTTTTCCTTCTAGCAATCACCTTACTTTAGCTTTTAGAGTTGTCTTTTAACCCAAAGTCTTGTTCTTGAAGAACCTAAGCGTTCTTAAAATATCCTAAGTGTGTTTTCAGTTTTGAAAAATATTGTATTTTAAATTGAAAGCATAAATAGCACGAAATATCATGCACTCAGTTAGCCTGGCACGCTTGGAGCTATGTATTGCCGGTGTGACGGTGAGAGACGCTATTTTTTTTCATCAGCTTACTCACCCCGTGCCTTGATTTCCCCTTTCCACAGCCGACCCTAATACACAGGCTAGTGTGTGGAAAGCAGAACCGAAGCTGAAGTAAAAACTCAAATGCATTACCTTGGGAGTAAGTGTGAGAATGAGTTGGGCACTGGCATCTAGGGACAAGAAGAAAGGAAAATATAAACAGAAGCAGGAAACAAGAAGCCTTAAAGTAACACTTACACTACATTCTACCCCCGGGACTAAATGGGGCCACAGCTGGCAGAGTAAAGAACAGAAAGCAGCAAAAACTCCAAACTCAAGATAACACCAAAGACAAAAGCCAGCCCATGGACCACGTCTTGTCTGTCAGCACCGGCAATCCTTTTCCTGAGGGTATTTATTGAAGAGGCAAGGCCTGCAGGCAGCTCTGAGGGCACACACACACCGCACACCGTGGGACCTGGATTCAGGAGGCTCCAGCCCTGACAGGTCAGGGGCTTTGACTGAACCACGTGACTCTTCTCACTCCGCTCTCAACCCTGGAAACTTTCTCTGGCTTCTTCAAGGTATTTAGTTTATCCTCAAACTGGTCATGCGCTTGAGCTTCCAGAAGCTCTCAGCCCACTGGCTTCCCGGGTCAGCTACTCATGTCCTGCAGCCCCCGGCTCTGAGAGCCGGTCCTGTCTCTATAGCACACACACCTAGCACATTCTCCTTCCTGAAGTCCTTCGCCCATGCACTTGCCACGTTCTCTTTTCTGGAGGCTTCCTTCCCTGCCACATGCGCTATTTCTTGGACAGTCCCTCCTTCTGGCTTCAGTTTCTCCTATATTCATTTGTTTCTTTATGACTCACAGGACCTTGCCATAGCGGGTGTCGGCGGGACTGCATAGCCTCCTCCCCACCGCGCCAAAATTCAAATCTGGAATTGGAACACCCAAGGAGGGAAAAGGTAGAGGGAGGAAAAGGGTGGTTTTGCCCCAGTGGGTATCAGGATGTCAGAACTTCGTGAGGTCAAGACAAAATGCAAAGCAAGGCTGCCACCTAGTGGCCACCTGCTTCCTGCAGGCACAGGAAAGGTGGTCAGGCCCAGGCCCAGCTGACAGTTAGCTTTCTTTCCAAAACCTGCCCCGAATCAAACCTTCTAAGGACACGAGAAGCACATGGAAGAAAGACATCCGAGATAATGCCGAGGACACGGCTGCCCTTCCCACTATTTGTGCTATTTTAGGTTCTAAGACTAATAACTCACTTGTAACCCTTAGCGGGGGTTCCCGCTTTGTCCTCACCTGTGCTGATTTCCTCAGCTCCCTCCTCCTGTCCTGTTCCGTCCCGTCGTCCTGTCCCATCCCATCCTGCCCCCCAGCCTACATTTGCAGCTGTTTCCTTACTCCAGCACTCTCCCTGGTCCCTGAAGTCAAGTCACAGCTTCCAGGTGGATCCTTACTTCGTTACTGAGCCTTTCACATGGGAGCCTGAGCTCAGGCAGCTTTAAGTAGGCCAGTCCTCAATAGGCCAATTAAAGAGTCAAAAGCAGAGAGATTTATTCAATGTGGTTGAACTGGGAAGGGGCCTCCAGTGACTGCTCTCCCCCCAGTCCGTCATCCAGGGTTCTGATAACCAAGTGCAGGTTTAAATGGAGGCTGGCTCAGCCTAACTCGGGTACAGCTCTTCCAGAGGATCCCAGTGGGCAGGTGGCGCTCTCTTGGGGTCCAAGGCTCCCTGCCTGCGGACCTGGACCGTAGCTTCTCCTCCTCCCTCTGCCCATCCCTCCTCACACATTCGGTTTGCGCCTGGGCTGCCTTCAGCCGTCTGACCCTTCCTTCTCCCTTAAGCTTTGTAGTCTCACAAACCAAGGCCCCAGATGTTTCTGCCCAGTCTCCGTCAGGGTGCACTTTCAGCCATTTCTCACTCAGATGCTTCCTAGTTTCCAAACTGGCTTCTGGCTGCACCTTTGTTAGCTCTAGTCCCCACTGGGGCAGGGGTTCCCAGTGACCTCACCCCGTCAAAGCTGCTTCCATGGGAAATAAAGCTCAGACCAGCCCTGCCTCTTCTTACTCCATCTTCGGGTTTTAGCTCCTGAAAAACTAACCATCTCCCCTTTCTCCTCCCTCCCTCCCACATCATGAACTTTGCCCTATTACTTCCCTGCCTGGAACCCACCTTCCTTTTTTCCCTTCTTCTAGATAAGTGTGCCTTTGCTGTCAGTCCTCAGGTAGTCTGGAGGCCCCAGGGAGGAACCCTTTCTTTGTGACCTGATGGACGGCACTTCCTTACGAAGAGAAGGCTGAGTGCTTAAGAGCACTGGCTGCTCTTCCAGAGGACTTGGGTTTGATTCCCAGAACCCACAAAGTGGCTCACAACCCTCTGAAACTTTAGTTTGAGGGAATCAAATGCCCTTTTTATCCTTCCCAGGCACAAAAGATGATAACACAGATATACAAACAGGCAGGCAAGACAGCCATATGCATAACCTGCTTCAAAACTCACTCCACATTTGCTCTTCCTCCCGTTCCCACCGGCAGAGTATGCTAACTGCACCCACCCGATTCCCTTCCCACGGGGTTGTCCCAAATGTGTCCTGGGTGACATTGGTCCTAAGGGCTATGGTAGGTTTTTGTTTAAGTGTGAACACACAGGTTTGACACCTAAGAATGTACTTACCTCTCTTGCAGGACGAATAAAAGCGCTTTACATAGCAGCACAGACATCAATACAGTAAGTGGCTCCCTGAATTTACTTGGCCATGGAATTATCTTATCACCAGGCACCAGTTTGGCTTTAGTAGCTCTGTTGTTCACAGAATGCCAACTTACCATTTTACTGTAAGCTGGGGGACAAGGATTGCAAAGCCAAAGTTCAACCCATGGCTGTCACTGTTTAGCTATGTGACACAGAACGCTTTATTTTCATGTTTTGCTTATGCTGGAGGATAACAATCAGTATGGCAGAGTCACCATAAAGATTATTTACTGCTACCAATAGTGCACGCGCACTGAATGCCACTTAGTATGCACCAGCTGTTTTCCTACTCATGTCTCAGTCCTTACTACGAAGGCCGGCCCAGACTACACTTCTGGGTCCTGGAACTACAACTCTCCCTCTGTGGTGTGGCTCTTCCGTCTGCCAGAATTCCTCTCCAGTGCCTGTCTCCTCCACTCATCAGCTCAGACTTCGGCTCCCAAGCTGACTCTGGCACACACGCATTCACGTAGGCTCGCTCTCAGTCTTTCTGGAAGGAATCAGGTCAGAGGGTAACTGCAACTCTGCTGGGATAAGCCACAGTGTCTACCCCTACTAGATCCCTAGGTAGCCCGTGCATTTCTGCCTCCCATTATTGCGTTCTCAGAAAGGAGCAGTTTCTGCACACAGAACCAGCATACGTGTGTTGCTTTGACGTTAAATGTCCTAGGGACAATGTCAAGTTCTACACTGCCTGTCACACTGTGTGGGACCAGGCGGCTTCTCTGGGAGCATTTTCTTAACGCAAGCTATACCGCACTGCACCATCCCCTGGTGTCAGGCCTTGCACAGCCCAACTGTGGTCCTGCTTTCCTGGATTCTTACGTACTGGGGTCTGCCTGCCTGCCGGGATGGGTGCACTCGGGGGTTGCCAAACACCGGCGAGCTTGGTACGGCCTGTACTCACGCTGTGCTTTGCAGGTGCCTCAGCAAGTGAGCGACCCGAGAGCGAGCAGCTGCGGCCATGGCGGTTCTCTTGGTCCTCACTGCTCCACCCCCACTGCCGGCCAATCCTGGCGCTGGACGCCAAGAGGAAAACATCTGCCTCCAATTCGCTCTGCAAGGCCACCTGACCCAACTTTACCCCGTTTTCCAAGACAACTGCCCCAGCTGCCAACTCTGGAAACGCCTCAGCGGCAAGAACTCCATAGGGTCTTGTGAGGACTTTAAAACCAGAGCTGCTGCACAGGAAAACAGAACAACAAACGAAAACGCGACCAATCAAAACTCCCAAAGCAAGTAGTTCTCTGTGAACAGTCTTAGTTTTGAGAAAGTTCTCAATACGCCTTTAGCCTCACTTAGGCCAAGCAGTGCCCCATCTGCCATGCCCAGTGGAAGAGCTCACTGAAGATGGTAAAGTCCAGTGAAGTTCATTAGAACATTATCCAGAGCCAAGCGATCGAGTATTGTCATTATGAAACAGCCCGAGCTTTCCTTACCCTATAAGTATGAAACACTAGAAATGTATCTACAGCCCAACTCCAAATCCCCAAACTGCTTTCAACTGACGATCAAAGAGTAGGGTGGCCACCCGCTTTACAGAAAACACCCTCCCTCAATCTTGGATTTGCTGTTAATAATTTTTAGGAGGTATTTATGTAAAGATAAGTTTAAGATGAAAGTAAGACATTGATAAAGGAAAAACACCCAGGGCAGTGACAACCATGAAATCTGCTGGTGTGGCTGCTCATTTATAATCTCAGCACTTGGGAGACAAGTCCTCAAGTTCCAGGCCAGCACCAGCTAAAAACTGAAACCCAAGCCACTTAAACAAAAAACACAGGTTATAAGCAATACGACAAGTATCTGAAGTAACAAGGTTAATTACCTTTTAGTGTGGTTCCAATTTACCATGTAAAGTAACACGTTCATTTGGCAAAGCGCACCGCTTTAAGAAAAACATCACTTGTACTATGCTTTTAATAGTATAGTTAACGCCAAAAGAACGTTTGAGTTTTCCTAATACAAGTGGCCTTCCTGTAACCATTGTTTAACTACTTTGTGTATCTTCAAGCACACTCTATACTGGCACCCAGGTCTCTTGCTTCATTTACAACTTGTACTGACAATAAAAGCTAAAAGCAACACCAGGTACCGGCATACTTTTATTAAGTAACCTTTACAACACTTGTAAAACACTGGTCTTCTCCATTCTCCCTGCTTTGATAAATGTACAAGATTTGTTACAAAACAATGCAAAAATACTGAAACCCATCTACTATACCCCAGAAATCTGATCCAAAGTCAAGGTAAAAAAGCAAGCTGTCAACTTACTCCTGGTTCTGACCATACCATTTCTCTAATTGTCATATTCTCAAAATACGTCCTTAATTTCCAGTCAGTGTCTCCATTGTGGGAAAGGCATGAATTCGTAGTCCCGCACTGACTCTCCCGAGGGGAGGCAAACCTGTCCCTGCCATCTCAAGTTCAACGAGGGCCGCGGCCTGCACTGAGCACAGCTTAACCCTCAGCACAGACCGTCCCGGCTTTGCAGAACAGGTCCAGCGGGAAGAAGACTATTTCCTCCTCTTCCCACCCTGGTGCGGCCCCCCCTTTCTTCTTGCCACCCAAAGCAGGAGACCTGGGATGCTTGCCCCCAAAGCCGCCTTTCCTCTTCTCTCCCTGGCCCGGCGGTCCGCCCTTCCTCTTGCTCGAAGGTCCTGGCCGGCCCCCCCTTTCTCTTGCCCTTCGGGCCCATTTTCCTCCTCTTGGCAGCCTCCTCCTGGTCCTCCTCCCTCATCTGCTTGTTGGTGGCCCTCGTCACGTCCAGCTGAGGCTTCTTGCTGTTCATGACTCGAAGCAGCTCCAGCTGGTTCTTTTTCTCGGCAGCAAAGTCCCCGAAGAGGGGCTGAAATTTCCTCTTCTTGCCGGTGCCGCGGGGCGCCTTCTCCTTGGGGAGCCGCTCCTGGAAACGCCCCACCGAAGCGGTGGAGACCTTGGCCACTTGCATGGCGCGGCCCAGCTCCTCCTTGCTCTGGTGTCCCGTCGGGTGCAGGCCTGCCGAGCTGGGCATCTGTACCTTGTGCGCTCGGGCCAGGTTCCGCAGTCGGTTCAGCTCGTTCTTCGCCACGCGCTCCTTCTTGGCCTGGATCCGCTTGGCGAACTGGTCTTCCATGGGGTCGGCGCCCCCAGGCACCTCGATCAGCCACTCCTTGGTGTCGTCCCGGGCGCGCTTGTAGCCCCAGCGGCGCCGCCACTGGCCGCTCACCTCGTCCCACACCAGGTTGGTCTTCTTCTTGGGACGGATGCCCTTGAGGCGCGCGAACTGCTGCCAGCGGGTGAGCGGCCGCGGCCGGGGCAGCGGCTTCTCGCGGGGCAGGCGCGTGGCGGGCTCGGGCAGGCGCGCCACCACCGCCTCCTCCACGCGCTCGGTGGGCAGCTGCCACAGCTGGTTGACGAGCAGCTGCGTGTTGTCGCGCGCCAGGGCCCGCAGCTCGGCCTCGGGCGACGGCCCGGCCTGGCGCAGCAGCGTCGGGGGGTTGCGGTCCGAGGCCAGCAGGTTGCCCAGGTCGAACTCCAGCTCCAGTTCTTTGTGCACCGTGATGCGCTGCAGCTTCTCCGCCTCCTCCTGCTCGGCCTTGGCCAGCAGCTCCTCCACGCTCGGGCCCTCCATGGCCCCCGCCGCGGCTCGGGGGTCCCGACTCCCCGTCTACAGCAGCACCCGAAAGCCGGCAACCACGTGCGGACGTCCGGAGCCGAAATCCGGAAGATAAACGTTCACTTCCGGGTTACCCGGAACCGGCTCACGAGGGGCAGGCTGGGGGAAAGGCCGGCAGAGGGCGGCATTGGAGAGCGGATGGGCTTAGAGGCGGGACCCGGTCTCGTAAGCGGATGTGAGCCGGACTGGCGCTGGGGGTTGGCTGTAGGAAGGCTAACAAGCTCTGGGTCGGGCTGGACTACGTTTCCCAGCATGCTGCGGGGCAGGGGGCGGTCGCGGTAGGACGCGGGCTGCTCAAACTCCCGGGGCTGCAGGCGTCTTAGCTTCCTAGGAGCATGCTTAATATTGTCTGCTGGTAGATCCAGTCCTAAGGTGTTTGGCTAATCCGCTCATCCTGGGGGAGGCAATGCCCCCCGAAGCCAGAGCCCGTTCTTTGTGCCCTAGGCGTGAGCGGAGGCACAGCCCACGGATACACGTAGGCAGGTATAGAAGATTGATTGCTGTGAGACTTCGGAGGGCTGGCAGTTGGGCTGTGCTGAGTGGTGCGAGCGTCCGTGGACTTGCATTCCTCTCTGGAAAGAACGCTGAACTCTGCAGGTTGCAAAGCCTGGGCTCCGATTCTGGCGGTGCTATTGTTTGATCCTGGGGTATTTATTTAGGCCTGGAAAATCATGAAATCTTAATAGTTCTTCGTATCCAGGACTGTTTTAAAGGTGAATGAGTTGATACACTTTAAAGAAGGCGTAGAGTCGGTGAAAGCCAAGTAAGTTGTAGTCAGCAGTCACGGTGGCTGGCGGAGTTGAGGCGGTGTTACAGCCTGCCATCGACTGTATTGATAGGCTATTTTACCCCAGTCTTGTTCGTACGCTGATAAGTGTGAAACCCTAAGTAGTAACTGGTACACAGGACGGACTCAGTAAACGAGATCTACTGTTGTTTCCACTGGCAAACTTTCTAGCCCAAGCAAACTCTTCTGCGTATGACGGAGTCATGGTTAGTCTTGGTCCTGTATGCTTATCATCTAGCTTCAAGTCACTCCGAGAAATTCTGTCAGAATGGTCCTCCTCAGATTTGCTGCTAACCCCATTCTTTCCATGTTAGCTGTCTCCAGAGCTTCAGGAATGGCGTTGGTGGCGCACGCCTTTAATCCCAGCACTCGGGAGGCAGAGGCAGGCGGATCTCTGTGAGTTCGAGACCAGCGGAGGCAGGAGGATCTCTGTGAGTTCGAGACCAGCCTGGTCTACCGAGCGAGTTCCAGGACAGACTCCAAAACAATACAGAGAAACCCTGTGTCTCGAAAAATAAACAAATAAGTTTTTTTCCTCAAGAAAGGCAAAAAGAGATGCAAGGAAGAAAGAGCTGTTTGTTTGTATACAGACGTCTGTCAGGATACAGCCCTCAGCTGCAGCCACCAAGAGCCCCGCCTGGGTGCATTCAGCATCCACTACATCCCTGCCCACCTCCCAAGTCTCTCCCTCCCTCCCTCCCTCCCTCCCTCCCTCCCTCCCTCCCTCCTCCCCTCCTGTCCCCAGAGTCGGGTCTCCCTTCCCCCTCTCCCCTTTCCCATTCACTTTCCCCCAATAAAAACCCCTCCACCCAAGCTCTGTCACGTGGCGTCTTTCTCTGGTGCATGGCTTTTTAAAATTACAACAGCCGCCATTAGAGATTTGTGACAGCTCTGTGGAATTTCTCATGAACAGATGTAAAGAGAGGTGTTCTGGGTTTTGTTCCAACCTCACCCCAAAGAGAGAGGCAAGAGTGTTAAAGGCCTGAAATGAATGCCTCACGACCTCTCAATGTGTGGTTACTTTAGTCAGTACAACTAGTTCTTAAAGCAGTTTCATCTGTCTTTAGTATCATATTAACTTAGATTTACTTCCTACTTAAGATATTAAGCTAAGTAACTGGTTTATTTGTTGGGTGTATGGGCATGTGTGTGCTGTTGCACGTACATGGAGGTCAGAGGTCAATTTGATTTGGGTGCTGGGAATTGAACTCAGGTTGTGAGGTTTGGCAGCAAGTGCCTTTGCCCAGTGAGCCGTTTTGTTGGCCCTCGATTCTCAACGCTGATCCTTTTGATTATTAAGGATGCTCCAGCCAGTTTTTAATTCCTTCAGTGAACACTTTTTTTCTCTCTGATTATTTTTGTTCAAGAAACCCAGTATACCAGCTAATTTGATAAAATATCAACTAAGGGATCTTAAACTACTTAAGTGATTTCCACATGGTTCTCTTTTACTGATTCATAATTTTATGTTGGAGGTACTTCAATGAAGAATTTTTTAAATTTTCTGTGCATCCTGTGTGCATGCATGTGTGAGTATGTCTGTGTGTGTGTCTGTGTGTGTGCATGCATGTGTGAGTATGTCTGTGTCTGTGTGTCTGTGTGTGTGCATGCATGTGGGGCATGTGTGTATGTGTGTGTGTACATGTCTGTATTTGTGTGTGTGTATGTTTGTAGGCCAGAGGATTGTGGTTCTCAGTCTTCCTAATGCTACACCCTTTAATACAGTTCCTCATGTTGTGGTGACTCCTACCCATAAAATTATTTTGTTGCTAGTTCATGACTGTACTTTTGCTACTGTTATGAATCATAATGTAAATATCTGTGTTTTCTGATGACCTTAAGTGGCCCCTGTGAAAGGGTCATTGGACCCACAGAGGGGTCATGACCCACAGGTTGAGAACCACTGCCTTGGGAAGACACTGGTGTCTTATTCTGTGAGTCTCCACTGTGTTCCCCTGAGACAGTATTTGTCCTTGAACTGGATCTAGGGGGTGACCAGAAGACTTCCAGGGTCCTATCCATGCTTCCCACAGCTCTGAGATCACAGACATAAACAGCCACACTGACCTTTAAGTCCGTCTGAGTATTTGGATTCAGGTCTTCATGTTTGTACAGCAAATGCTCTTACCCGTAAGCCATCTCTACAGCCCTTCTTTAGAAAACTTTCTTAATTATAGACAAAATTGGCTTCAGTTTTAGTCAGAAACCTATACTAAATATCCATTATTTTAAAAAGAAACCAAGCAAGCGTATCTATTAGATTTTCTGTAGTTTTGGAAAAGCAGATAGGATAACTACTACACACTACCTTTGTCTACAAGGAACTTTGGATTTTAACACTGAAACAGAGTCAGCTTGTTTTGCTGTCTGGAGAGGGTTAATATTCTTTGTTTACTAAAAATTAATCAGTGAAGCTTTCTGTGGTTGCCATAATCTTATTGCCATCTGTAAGATGATTTTTTTAAATCATAAGACAACATATCCCAAGAGAATAAGATTTGTGTTAGCTTTGAGATGTTAGTTCTAGAAGGAGGTTAATTCATAGATGAGAGATTGAGAGATTCATGTATAAAGAAAAGCTGTATAATTTTTGAGGTATTTATACTCAGTGTATCTAGTAAGATAGAACATTTAGGTCTACTTACTAATTATTTTTAATTACACTTAAATTTATGAAAGCAAGATTGCAGTGAGGAAGAAATTCTAACTGGTTATGGGAGTGTATACTTATAGTCTGTGCATGCAGGAGCATTCTGGATTTGAGACTAGTATCTCACCTAACAAAATAAACAAGTAGCCTTCAAGTGTGTGTGTGTGTGTGTATGTGTATGAGTGGGGATTTTTACTTTTTTAAAGAGTAGATTCACTTAAGACCCAGCAATTGAGTCCTCAGTAACTTTGTCTTAAGGAAAGCAATGTCCAGTTTTCATTATAGTCATAGGCCCTGTGTAAGTATGTATTAACCTTGGCAATAGAAGTTTCAGCCAACCAAATTTTTCTTCTAAATGCTCTGTGCTAGCAACATTAAAAATACAAGGAAGCTATGGTGACAACTAATAAACATTAGCTGTTGGCTCCTGCTAACAATGGTTTATTTCTAAAGATTGACCCATTATTTTGTAGGCTACCATGAAAAGTGAAAACAATAGAAATTAAAACTGTTGTAGGCTACACGTTTCTTTCCTAGGTGCTTTCACTTGCTAATGGGAGACAGACAGTAAGGACAAGAAGCTCCTAGTGGCAAGTAGGTGTCACTGTGTCCTTGGACATCTGAGCCTCAGCAGCCTCCCAGGCTCTGGGTGCCTCCTAAGCTGCAGAAGAGCCCGTGGCTTGGCATGTGTAAACAATGACCTTGCCATTTCCCAGGCTTTTTGTCTCATTATCTAGCATATGTGGATTAGGGATGAACAGACTGAATTTAAGGGCGCTCTTGATTTCTTTGGGATTTCAATGGGAGCGCTGTTTAGGTTTCAGGCTCTACCTTATTCATGTAGAAAATGAAGGGTTTAACTAGTTAGATTTTACAACTCACTTCTGTCATCTTTTCCTCTTGTTGCAGTCCTGTACCCCCTAGGTGTTCCAATATTATTTTTTTTATAAAGCACTTTCTTTTCTGGATGTCCTCTCCCTGGGTCATGAATAGACTTTTCTATATGAGATGACTGGTGATTCTCACTTAGAAAGCTCATCTATTTTTCTGAGATAAGGTGTGTGTCTGATATTGAAAGGATGGGCCTTTTTTCAAGGAATTTATGGTTGAGTAAAGCAATTGAGTTAAGGTCATTGAGACAGGGAAAAGAGCGAGGGACCAGTGGTGATGTGTTTATGAGTTTAGACTCCGACGTCACAGACCTCTGTTTACGTCTGTCTTCTGCCCCTGACAATTCTGGGTTGTCTTGTGTCCTCTTCTCTTCTTTATCTCTGCTATCTCTCTGTCTCTGTCCCCATTTCTGAGTGTGTGCTTGAGTGTGGAGGACAACCTCAGGGTGTTCCTCGGGAGTCATCTAGCTTGGTTGTTTGGAGACAGGATCTTTCCCTGAGACTTGGGGCTCATCTGTTCAGCTAGGCTGGCTGGCCAGCAAGGCCTAGGGATAACCCTATTTATCTCCTCAGTGCTTAGGTTACAAGTCCAAGTTACATGTCTGGCTGGCTTTATAATGTATTGCTGGGGATTGAACGCAGGTCCTCAAGCTTGCACCTTATGGACAACCATCTCCCCAACCTCCTTATTTTGCTTTTTTTTTTTAATGGCTTTACCATGATACTTTCTCTGT